TCTCTCTCTCTCTCTCGTTTTGTCTTTTTCACTCTTTATCTATTTTAATTCATTCGCAATATCTCACTCTGTCCTGGATACTAATGCGCATTCTTTCTCGCTCTTTCTTTCACTTTCGTCATCTTTCGATTCAGATGTTAAAAGTATAAAAGAAGAAACGATATATACATCCAAATTAATTCAAACATTCTGACGTTGACACAGCCAAATCTTTGTTTATTACAGTTGTTTCATCTCTGTTACTCTTCTCGAATACGTGATGTTGTTCGTTGCCAAAGCCGGTTTAAAACTTATCGTAATCACCGCAGAGCTACTAGGCAAAATCTTGCTTAATATTCGGATATAATTCATGCGATAGGGTTGAAACGATAAAAATAAATATTTAAGAAATTCGTTTAAAGTTTAACGAACAATTTTTATCGAATTTCCTATATTTCCTTAATAATTTTCTATATATTCGTGGCCAATTGTCTAATATGTACAGCGGCCCTTGTATCGTACTTTGCGGGGAATCCGTCTTAAACCGACTCGGTTCATCTGGACATTTTATCTTGACGTTGCTTTCGTGCTCCCGCAATTTCTCTCTCCTCTTCCCGCGTTCCTCTGTCCTCACGTGATTAGGAAGCAATAATCCTCGTCGTACGAGTCCTCCCTTCCCGTTCTCTCTGCCCTCTTGCCGCCTCGTTTACCAAACTCAATGAACACTTGGTGGATATTGCGCTTATTGGTGTACTGGACGATTCTCCGTGATCGCGATTCGCGCGGAGTCCTTTGGCGAATGCGGCTTTCCAACGTTCATTCTCTTGACTAATTGATTTATCGTTATTGTAAAGGGATCGGCGATGATTAGCGGATAATGAAAGCGAGCCATCGATCGTGACAGCGATTCGAGATTGTAGACAACGCGCGTACGTACGCGCGTAAGAGATATGCATTGATTCTGTGTTTCGTAAAGCTTGATTAAAAATCAGAGATTCACCATACTTGCGGCGATCCTACTTGGCCACTGGAGTCGTCCAGTTCACTGTTCCTTACAATATTATTACACCGCTGATTGGCTGACATGCGTTATAATCGCAGATAGATATACAATTTTCTCCGCATGGTATAACTGCAATAATCTAATCTATTTATCTTATGTAACAAACACTAGCTTTCCGTGACTGTGTCGGGAGAGGAAAGGAGTATAACAACACGCCGCGATATTAGTATTATTAACGAAATGGATTCACGCGAAATATATAATCTTATAATGCGATTTCCTCCCCTCTCCATCCTTCCAGCATAATGTGTACCGTCCCTCTCGTGCATGTACAAAAAATACACATCGCGTCTCGTTCAGTCCGTTACAAATGTACATACGAGAATAATAATAATAATAAAAATTAACCTAACCAGAATAATCATTGCGCGATAATAATAGTAATAATAATTGGAATAATAATACTTAGCATATCGTTATTATTACTATCATTATCATTATGTATATGCGTACATAAGTGTGTTCGTGTATGTATGTATATACGATTGAAATATACATTTCATCCTGATATATACATACGTAGTGTTCTTCCTTTCTCTCTCTCTCTCTCTCTCTCTCTCTATCTATGTACAAAGTAAACAATGAATATTACACCGCTCGTTAATTTTTTGGATCCCCATTCTCGCAACGCGTCCGAGTAATATCACGGAGATATATCGCAGAAATCCCAACAGATTTTATATAATCGACGTAAAAAGTCTTTTCTCTTCGCCACCCTGTTCGTCGCGGGGCGTGACGCGTGTAAAACATTTCGAAACTATCGCGTCGCGCGAATAGCACACGCGTACCCCCCATGCGAGATACGAGTCGTGGAGAGCAATATTGATATATGTATATATATATATGTATGTGAATATATATATATGTGTGTTTCTCCTCTTCCTTCTGTCAACTTTAGAATTAGCAGCATAATCCTTCATCTATCTCTTATAATTACGGCGTCTCTCGATAGTAAAGATAGTAAGTAATGATAATAACAGTAGCAGTACACACAACTACCGCTATCAACGAACATTAACGTAGCACAATTGTGGCGGTAATAAAAGTAAAAATAAGACATGATAGGTATCGCTTATATATAAATACGGTTTAAGAACCTAATTCTATCGTTCGCGTATGTAGCGCGTATGTATACGTTAATATATATATATCTATGTATATGTATAAAGATTCATCGCCAACGTACAAATTTTCAGTCGGTTTCGCGGCGCGGCACCGCGCCGAAATTTCTCTCTACTATTATACCCTTCTTGCCGCAAACAAAACGATCCTCCCGTGTTCATTCACGCTATCCTACATTTATGCGCGCGTGCACGCGCTGGCACGTCTCTCTGTCATATCACATGCACACCCTTCTTATTACGGTGTAAAGAGTCTCACATATACAATATAATATATATATATATATATATATATATATAGTTCTCACCAAATCTTTTGCGGTCTCGCGTTTTACGTCGCGTGCTCGTTGGGAAAAATGACAATGCTCG